TGACCTCCCCCTCCATTTGTGCCGGTGGGGATGGGCAAACTTCCATCACAGACCTGAAGGGGGAGGGACCCGGCCGTTAGAAGCTTTGGAAGGCAAATGACAGTGCCAGCCACGCCTGATCTGTGTCAATAGACAGAGCGGCGTTCTCGCTTTGGCGACAGCGATTCCGAAGGGGACCAAGCGGTTACTGCTCCGTCCCTTGGATGGCTTCCAGCATTCGTGTAGCAGCTTCTTGCCCTTTGTTTCAGCGGGTTGACTCGCACAGAACGGTGCGAGGCAGGCTCTGAGATCCAGGCTTGCGGGTGGTATGACCTCCCATAAAGTCAGTGGGTCACGGTCTTTATCTGTGGAGGATCCAGGTGATTACATCCAAAGGTGAACACCTGAGGCAGGCTTGTAGCCGATACTAGATTCTGAAGCGTAACCACTTTGGGCAGAGCGTACATAATTATCCTCAGCTCTTACCCGGGTGGTGGCGTGTGATTGACACCTGCGAAACGTTCTCTGACAGTCTGTGATGAGGAAGTGCACGGTGCAAGCAGCGTTCGCCGGTGCTTTGATCGGCAGAGAGGGATTTGTTGAATCTGCCTGCACCTCTTCCGCGCTCGTATTTGCTCTCTCAAGGGGAGAAGTGAGAAAGCTGAGAGCCTCAGTACGGAGACCGCAATCCTGCAGCCGTCCGTGGCTGAGGATAAGGAGCAGAAATGTTCTTAAGCACAGTGAATTTTGACGAATGTGGGGAAGCATGGGGGAGAGATGCTTTCCAGTTAGTGGTCGGACCAGCACAGCTTTCAGGCAGCGATTAACCCAAACGGTGCCCTGGAACTGTAGCAAGGGGCTGGTTCCTCCTGGGCAAATACAACGCGCGCCGCAGTGGTGCAGCAAACCCCTGCCTGTGCCTGCCTTACCCGGAGAAGTCCTGGGCTTTGCTGAGGTGGTTCACAAAGAGGGAACTGGAGGGAGGGAGAAGGGAATTGGGGTAATTCTTCACCATGACCTTTTTTCCCTTTTACCCTGGCTCTAATTTCCTACTGATCGTTTCTGATTTGTTTTGGTGTGTTTTTTTCCTGGCAGATACGAAGATGAAATCAACAGGCGCACGGCAGCAGAGAACGAGTTTGTGGTGCTCAAGAAGGTGCGTGCCGTGGATGTTAGCTGGGGCTGATCGTAGGTGTTTGCAGCCCTTTTGCCCCTACACTCCCTTTGCTAGAAGTGTGCCCAGAGACCCACGGGTGGAGAATTAGGGCTCTTATTTCTGCTTAAAGAGTCACAGAATCACAGAATGTTGGGGTTGGAAGGGACCTCTAGAGCTCACCCAGTGCCACCCCCTGCCAGAGCAGGGTCACCCAGGGCAGCCCCACAGGAACGCGTCCAGGCGGGTTGGAAAGTCTCCAGAGCAGGAGACTCCACACCCTCTCTGGGCAGCCTGGGCCAGGGCTCCGGCACCCGCACAGCCAACAAGTTTCTCCTCATGTTGAGGTGGAACTTCCTCTGCTCTCACTTGAATCCATTGGCCCTTGTCCTGTCACAGGGCACAAGTGAAAAGAGCTTGTCCCTTCCTTCTTGACGCCCAGCCCTCATATATTTATACCCATTCGTTAGATCCCCGCTCAAGTCTTCTCCTCTCTCCAAACTAAAAAGCCCCAGATCCCTCAGCCTTTCCTCCTAAGGCAGGTGGTCCAAGCCCTTAATCATCCTCGTAGCCCTCCCTTGGACTCTCTCCCTGTCCCTCTTGAACTGGGCAGCCCAGAACTGGGTGCAAAACTCCAGGTGAGGTCTCAAATAGGAAGTCTCTATAGGAAGGAGTGCTGGATCCCATGGATAGCATAGATGGTCTATAATCTCTTTCTTAAGGCTTCCTCTGACTGTCCAAACCCACAGTGGGCTTGCAAACACGGGTCCAGGGGACCCCACAGAAAATAGGGGATCCTGCCCACCGCTGGTCGTTAAATTGTAGGACATGGTGGGTCGCTGGGCAGGCAGACGTGGAGTTTGGGGGGTTCGATGGGCTCGTGGCTGCTTTTGAAGCTATTGAAGGCTGGGGTGGACTTGGTCGTCAAAGCTCCGGCAATCTCAAGGGATTATCATTGTTTTATAGGATGTGGATGCTGCCTACATGAACAAAGTGGAGCTGGAGGCCAAGGTGGATGCGCTGACGGACGAGATTAACTTCCTGAGGTCCCTCTACGAAGCGGTAAGGTCCTGGCTGCTGCTTGTGGCCGCTGCAGTGCAGCACCTCCAGCGGGTGAGGAACAGGGAACGGTGACCCAGGAGAATTAACATGCTGTGTCCAGAGGCGAGAAAGGTGGTGGAGACATGGAGGCTTCCCTTGCCTAAGCAGGACTAAGCCTGCGAGTAAAGTGCACGTACTGTGAATTGTCACAGGGCTTTCTCCTTGTCTGGGATGTGAGATGGATTTACTGCAAGAGTAGCCAGGACGTGCAGTATTTTTTTAGTGCTGTTAGTGTGGAAACAAGGAAAACCAGTATCTTGGAGCCAGTGCTGCAGTACTGGTGTGTGTTAGTGTTCTCTGTGAGAGAAAGAAAGAAAGAAAGCTCCTTGACTCAGACACCTTTATCTTATGCATTATTTGCAAGATAAGAGCTTGACTGAACTGGACACTTGCATCCTTGGGTGAGGTGCTGGAATTTGACCCTTGCTTTGTTGTGAAGCTGATGCTTCTTGGACAAGCATTTCATGCTGGGTTCTTATCTCAGGGGTGGGGTAAACTTAATCTTGCTGCCAAAATATGGGTGATAAAAGCAGAAATGGAGCTAGTAGTTGTTAACTTTGTGCTTCGCAAGGTTAATTCACTTGGTTTCCCTCTAATTAATTGTTTTAACTGAATTCTTATTATCTGCCTCCCTTTCTCCTCAGATTCTCTCTTTAATTGGTCTAAAAGAGAGGCCCCTTAAAAGTCAGCGATTAACGGTGTTGTTTTAAATGCCATTGGCAGGAACTTCAAGAGCTGCAGGCCCAGATCTCCGACACCTCTGTGGTGCTGTCCATGGACAACAGCCGAAACCTGGACCTGGACAGCATCATCGCGGAGGTCAAAGCGCAGTACGAGGACATCGCCAACCGGAGCCGGGCGGAGGCCGAGTCCTGGTACCAGAGCAAGGTGAGTTACGGGAGAGATAAAGGCAGTTGCAGCTTTTCTTACTACACGTATCCCGTGTGTCCTGGTTTCAGCCAGCTCCTTCCCTGCCAGCCTGACTCCATCCTTTTCTCTTCCACCGTTTTCTGTCGCAGTACGAGGCGCTGCAGGTCACCGCTGGGAAACACGGCGACGACCTGCGCAACACCAAGAACGAGATCTCGGAGATCAACCGCATGATCCAGCGGCTGCAGGGGGAGATGGAAAGTGTGAAGGCTCAGGTGAGGATTTAGCAGCAACAGGGTGGGCAGGGGTTGGGCTGTAATGCGGCATCTGGACGAGCGTCTTAGGGGTGGCTGCAACACTCACCTCAAAAGAAGCCAGTTCTGCTGGAGGGAGAAGCTGTGTGAGCTGAGAGGCAGCTGCACCAGAGGTCGCGGAACGGGTGCGACGCAAAGCCCCTTCCAAAGGGCAGAGCTGTCTTTGGCCTCCCTCCTGGCCACACACGTTCCTCGTACCCTTCTTGCTTCTGGGATCACTGTCCACTCCCTTTCTGCAGAAGGGAACACCATGTTTGGGCACATAAAAGAATTTTTCAGCTGCCTGGGAGTTCTGTTTGCTTTCTGCAGGAGCTGTTATCACTTTATCAAACGGCTGGTGAAAGCCAGGCCAGTGAGTGGCTCAGACCAGGGGCTGCAAACTGGAGGTGAATAACCAGGGTGCACAGAGCTGGAGATAAGCCATCCATGATTCATCCATTTGTATTTATTTGGTTTCAGGGCAGGGAGGCTTAATGCACACTTCCAAGCAAAGAGCTGACCCCGTGCAGCTCCCTTGAATAATGAATGAGAGCCTAAAGCACATATATTCATTGTGAGCCCTTCCTGCCGAGCACGGGGCAGTTTTTGGAGGTGCAGGGGGCACAGCTGAGGGTGCATTAAGCGTGCCAGCTTGTTGTGATGCTTCTGGGCTAGGTCTGTGTTGTTTGGTAACTGCAGGCCTGCTCGAGTCCACGCTTGCCTCACATCAAAGCTTGCTGGAGACCAACTGGCTCTGAACAAGCTCTTCGGCAGAACAAGAGAGAAAACCTGAGCTTGCATTAACCCTACGTGTCGCGCTGTTGTCTGCGGTGTGGGTGGGCTGAGGGGCCGACGATCACCTGAATTAAAACATAACCAGGGGAGAGGAGTAGGGTCTGGCTTTCAAAAGAACAAATCTTGGGATGAGATGAGCTTCCCTTGCGGGCTGATCTCCATCCAGTGCCCCCCAAAACGTGGAGTTGTCAGCTCCTGGGGATGTAAGTTGAGCAGATCCAAGTTAACTGGGGCTCTGCAGACGCGCAGGGATGGTCTGGCCAGTAGATGTCACAAGTCCATGGGCGGTAGCGTGCTCCACCAGGGTGATGAGATGCCCATGACATACCCTGCTTCGTCCCTGCAGCGTGCCAAGCTGGAGGCAGCCATCGCTGAGGCTGAGGAACGCGGGGAGTTGGCTGTCAAAGATGCCAAGGCCAAGCTGGAGGAGCTGGAGGCTGCTCTGCAGAAGGCCAAGCAGGACATGGCCCGGCAGCTCCGCGAGTACCAGGAGCTGATGAACGTCAAGCTGGCCCTGGACATCGAGATCGCGACCTACAGGAAGCTGCTGGAGGGCGAGGAGAGCAGGTGGGGGCAACCTGGGGTTCTCCGTGAGGAGGGGTCCCTTCACTTAGGGGCATTTTGAGGGCCTCACTCCAATTTCTGCAAGGAAATAGAGAAGAGAAAACCTTGCGTTGTAAACCGATAGTTGGTCCTGAAAATGCTTTGGCTTAAGAGCCAAACTGGCAAGTTCTGGGGAAAGTTTGACACTTTTGGTGAAAGTGGGTGAAGAAGAAGAAAAAAGATTGGTTTTCCCTCCTACTTTTGGTGCTGTAGCAGAAGGTTTCCCAGCGGCTTTAAATCCCCGTGGAATTAAGGCAGAACTTCCGTGCTCTTTCAGCCCCCCTAGGTGATAACAGGGCTCCCAAATGTAGGGCTAGAACAAAGCGCTGGATGGCACACTTATCTTGGCTGAATTATGTACAACAGCGGTAATAACTCACTGCCATTGTCTTCAGCCCTGGCCCTGGGGGAACACTGAGTAATGCGGAGTCTAACCCGGCCTCTTCCTTTTTGTCTTTGTGTTTTTCTTCTCCGACAGGTTGGCTGGCGATGGAGTTGGCAACGTCAACATCTGTGAGTTGGTTTTATAATTTATAAGAGTTAACGCCGTAGCCGTGTGCTTGTAAAAAACGCACGTAGGGACCAGCTCTGCGTCCCGGAGCCTCACAGTGTCCTACCTCAGCTCCTGCAACCCGGTTAGCCCCCTTAGAATCATAGAATCCTAGAATGGCGCGGGCTGGAAGGGACCTTAGAAATCATTTAATCCAACCTCCCTGTCATGGGCAGGGATGCCACCTCTCAACCAGGCAACACGTGGGGACCGAACGGGAACTGAACCCGTGACCTCAGTGTTGTCATTGTTGTCGGCGCCGCGCTCAACCCACTGAGCTAACCGGTCCCCCTTCTTACATGGGAGACCCCCCCAAAGAGACAGAGGTCGACAGCGGTGTTGGCTCCATGGCAGACTTTAGCACTAACTCATCGGTGGGAGATGTAACTCGGGGGAACATTGATCTGTCTTCCCTCCTATTTTTGTACGTACTAAGGAGAAAACTCATTGCCTGGACTGGAAGTTCGTGCAAAGGTGGTGTCAGAGGGTGTCGTTCTCGCCTGGGAGGCGTTGAGTTCTCTTCTTGCCCACACGTTGGGCAGATGCTGGTGTCTCAGAGACGTTGTCCATGGCTCTGAATCAGTGGCTCTGCCTTTTATCCACTGAGCTGCCCGTCATAACTGCCGAACCGCGTGCCCGCAGCCTCTTTGGCGCGCCAAGAGATGAGCTGGATGTGGTCGTGACACGGGGTTCTCCAGGCCGCAGGGGGGGCCCTGAGCGCCGGAGAGAGGGGTGGGCTGCTCAGCCCTCGCGCTCACCTGGCTTAGCACGGGGGAGAAATGCTCTGAGCCAAAACGTAACAAGGTTTTAGTGTCCCGGGCCCTGTGTTTCTCAGGAGATCATAGGAGATCGCCCTTTTTGCGAGGGTGCTGGACTGGCTTACGGGTTTCCTGGTGGTGGTGTTCGCTT